TATGTATAATAAATTTGAGTATCCTGATGGTTCGCCCAAAAGAAAAAAATCTTCAGCTATTATTTCTGGTAATAACTTAATATCGCTAAATTCACCAGTTGTTGCGCCGCTACAAAACAATACTGAAAATTTATTTTAGACAACCATCTGGCGCCTCCGTTGCAATTTGCATCTTCGCCATCCAGCAGGTCATCACCGGCTGTTTCCAATACGAGTGAAAGTCGGAGTACTCAGATCGAAACCTTATCTTCTGAAGCTCCATCTAATGTCCAGCAAAATCCACATCATTTGCACAGCGTCCCCCCTATATTTGTAAGTGATTATACGTCAAGTCCTACAGCACATCCACCAATGCAATGTGCTTCTCTTCCTTCTAGTAGCCTAATTGTAGTTCCTCCTAGAAAAAGCGTATTTATATCTAGATTGCACCCTAGTACTACAATAAATAATATAAGTGATAATGTTAAATCTAAAATACATAATCTTGAAGAAAGGGATTTTAAAATTTTAAGTTTAATTCCTCCTCTGCTCGTGAAATTTCATCGTTTAAGCTTGTTGTTTCCAAAAACATATTTGATACTATTATTAATAGTTCATTCTGGCCCGATGACATTTTAGTAAAAGAGTGTGTATTCAGAGAAAAGCGTAACGCACTAAATCCTGTCCGTACTTCTAACGCTATTCAAGCTTCAAAAAACTAATAGAATCTGATTCGTTACAAATGTTATACCAAAATGTCAGAGGTCTTAACTCAAAACTTCGTCAAACTTATTTAAAATCTTTTGGTTCTGATTTTAAGGACTTTATATTTACTGAAACTTGGCTTAAACCTGAAATCTACGACACGGAAATCTTTTCTGACCAATTTGAAGTTTATAGAAATGATAGAGTAAATAGAACCGGTTCTAATAGCTGTACATAATTCCATTATGTCTGAAATAGTTGTCACTGAAGATCTTAATATAGAATTTATATGTGTCAAACTATTATATCGTGGTAAATATATTGCTTTAACTTGTTTCTACATTCCTCCAAATTCAGACTTTGAAATATACATTAAGCACTCAAAGCTTCTGAAGGATGTTTCATGTTTAAAGTCAGCAAATTTTGATCTTATTTGTCTTGGTGATTTCAACTTACCAAGTATATCGTGGATCCCTAAAAAAATTCTATAGACAATATTCCTGTATCGTCTGCAGGCTCAGCTAGTAGAATGGACGAATTCTGGGAAGCTATATTTGACCAAGGACTTTTCCAAATAAATAATGTTTTTAATGTCAAGAATAGAATTTTAGATTTAGTATTCTCCACAACCGTTAACCTTTCATTATGTAGATGTGCACCGTTTGTCGAACCGGAGGATAATTATCACCCAACCCTCAATATAACTCTTGATCTTAAAACTCAAATAACATCCAAACCACTCAATAAAAAAATATCCTTTAACTTTTCCAAAATTAACATTAATTTGTTACGTACTACTCTTTCCAATACAATCTGGCGTCTCGAAGGTGATATTGATAATTGTATTTCCGATTTTTATAATATCTTAAAGCCTTTAAACTAACTGTCCCTAGTTCAAATTACACGCCAAATGGAGGCTCGCCATGGTTTACTCCATATTTAAGACGTTTACGTAATAACAAAAGTAAACTTTTTAAGAAATTTAAAAAATTTAACTCATCCTTAAACTACTCCAATTACTCCAAAGCTCGAAATAAGTATAATACTGAAAATTTAAAATGTTATTCGGCATATCTACAAAGAATTAGAAATAGTTTTCAACGCAACCCAAAAAACTTTTATAATTTCGTGAATTCTAAAAGAAAAGTTCATGAATTCCCTAGCTGTATGAAATTCGACAGCACAGAGGCTACCAATGATTCTGATATTGAAAACATGTTCGCAGATTTTTTTCAGAATAGCTATTCAACATTTGCATCCACTAGCAATTACAGCTTTAACATTAATAGGCTGAATTTTTTGCCCCAAATTTTGTTTACGGAAGAAGAGGTTTTAAATGGTTTAAAAACTTTAAAAAGTTCGATCTCCCCAGGTCCAGACGGAGTACCGGCAAACGTTCTTAAATTATGTGCAAATGAATTATACATACCACTTACGAAATTATTTAATTACTCTTTATTTTTTGGCTACTTTCCTTATTTTTGGAGATCTAGTTATATAATTCCTCTCCATAAAACTGGTAGTCGTTGCAGTATTGAAAATTATAGGGGTATTGCTAAGCTTAGCGCAATACCTAAACTTTTTGAATTTTTGGTTTCGCGTAGGCTAACACACTTTGTGGCACCAATTTTTTCACCGTGTCAACACGGTTTCATCAGAGGTTATGTTATGTTCATAATGGTTTTGCTAATAAATTTCAAACTGATGTAATTTATACCGATTTTAGTAAAGCTTTTGTCACTGTCGTACATAGTTTATTACTCCACAAGCTTGATATAATGGGTTTCCCTACATTATTGTTAGACGGGATTTTATCATACCTTGAAAACCGTACTCAAAAGGTGTCTTTCACAAATACCATCTCAAAAAATATTGTAGTTCATTCTGGTGTTCTATCTCAATGATCTTCCGTCAGTTGTAAGGTTTTCCAAAATTCTAATGTTTGCAGATGATCTTAAGCTGTTCATTAATCTCGATTCTCCCAATAGCTCATTACATTTACAACATGATCTACATTCCATTGTAAATTGGTGTGGCATGAATGGAATGTCACTAAATCTTAAAAAATGTAAAAAATTATCATTATTCAGATCTAGACATATTCAATCTGATTACTTCGTAGATTCATACAAATTGGAGAATGCAGACTCATTTATTGATCTTGGTGTTATTTTGGACAATAAACTTCGTTTTAACTTACACATTGAATCTAGCGTTAATAAAGCAAAGTCTCTTCTAGGTTTCATTAAGCGCTGGTCTAAAGAGTTTGAATACTCTTACGTAACTAAACGCTTGTTTACTAGTCTAGTTCGACCTACATTAGAGTATGGTTGTGTGTTGTGGAGTTCATTTTATAAATGTTACTCTAATACAATAGAAACAGTTCAAAAACAATTCATTATATTCGCTCTCAAAGGTCTGCCCTGGAATCCGTCTGAAATCCGTCTCTATGAAAATCGATTAAAACTTATAGACCTTCTATAGTTAGAAAGAAGGCGTTTAATGCTTAGAGCAATATTTTTAATACGACTTTTGCGTGGTTAAATTGATTCACAATTTTTAATTAGCGAAATAAAGTTTAATGTTCCGTCTAGAATAACTCGTAATTATATACCGCTAAATCTCTCCTTGGCGAGATCTAACTACGAACTAAGCAACCCCCTTAGATCTTTATGTGAAATATATAACAATCTCTATAATAATTTATCACTATCTGAACCTTTGCATGCAATAAAAATATCAATACTTAATTTGTAATTATAGTATTAGGAGCTGCCAGATTTGTATTTTTGCTCGTTGTTGTGTGATTTGTAATACTAATCCTTTTACTAAAACCGGCTGATGTTTTACTGTAGCTGGTGTTTCCCTACAATACTAACCCTCCATGGTGCGGACTATGCGGTGTACGCGCTCCCTACGTATTGGGAGGTGGCCCCCTCGGTCGGTAGGGGCGGTAAGAGTGGCGTTGGGACCGAACGAAAAAAAATATCCGAAGGTACCGTTTTATAGAAGCAAATCCGTGAAAAAATGTGACGAAAGCCTCCAAAATTATCGATATGTACCTTTATACGAAAACGAGGGCCACTATACATAATTTACAATACGAAACATCGTAGACACAATACAAATTACTGCGCTAAATCGAAGCTCTAAGTCAATTAATGTGCACTGTATCGACCAAAAATATACTTTTTGGGGACTACGAGGAACATTTAGTGTTCTTACAAACGTAATTACAAATTTAATATCCCCACTTTTCCATTGCGAAGGAAGTAATAAGGATCTGCTAGATTAAGTTCTGAATATTCATTCAAATAATATTGAAACAATGATCACATTGAACATTACACTGTACATTCATTGCGAGCTACCAACTGAAATTCCACCAAATCCACAAATATGATTGTTGTATTTCATCATTAAATACCAAATTTGAAACAATTTCGTGGGTAAATGTGACTTGGATGTGGCCTTAAATATTCAATATTCTGCCACCGGAGCAAGAACCCATTATGAAAATACAAATACCAAATTTTTAGACAAATCCTTGAAAAAATGTGGCGAAAATCAAAATACCGAATATCGGGAGGTACTGTTATATGGCGGTATGTGGACTGATATATCACTTTCAATACCAAACGTCCTAGACACAATACAAATTGTTATACTAAATTTGAAGCTCTACGTCAAATAATGTGGGCTGTGTCGTGATTTCAACAGACAGATGGACAGACATCGTTGAATGGACTTGGAATTTCATGCTGGTCATGAATATATTTATTATATATACTTTATAGGGTCTACGGAGAATATTTAGGAATGTTACAAATACTTAATATACGCTTCTTTTCAAGGTGGAGGGTATAATAAACAGATTCTAATTTATATAATTGGGCAAAAAAAAATTGGAATGGAAAGAAGAAAATGGAAGAAATTTTGTTTTCGTAAGAAAAAGGAACATTGAAAACACATATAGAGGACATTAACTGTGATTGAGCGAATTTACCTTCATCAAAATCAAGTACTTTCTTTTCAGTGGAATATTTCATTATGTATAATTAATTTTCGTAAATTTAAACTCTCATTTATTGTACTTTCTATGTGAGAACATTTCTCTGCAAGGTTTCAAAAAATTTCAACTGTTACGTTATGAAGGAGTTGCATTGATACATTTTATATAAAATATAGACATATATAAATATATATATATATATATATATATATATATATATATATATATATATATATATATATATATATATATATAACAGACCTTTTTAACAGACTTTATAACAGACCTTTTTATTCCTTTTCAGGATGTGGCTTTCATCAACCCGGCTAATGTCGTTTTCGTATATATGCTGGTTAGAGAATTAGTAAATGGAGAAGAAACAAAGGAATCGGACTTACAAGCAGCCGTTCTTACTTGTCTATATTTATCTTATTCTTACATGGGAAATGAAATTAGTTATCCCCTTAAACCATTTCTAGTTGAAGATTCGAAAGATAAATTCTGGGATAGGTGAGATATATAACCAATATTCTAGTTATTAAGCTTTTTAATTTGCACCATTTAATATTTATGTCCAAACTTCATAATAATCGTAAAATAAATAATGTGTAAGAAAAATAATTAATTGAAAAATTTAAGGTAGACAAATTAAACATTCAATAAAGATAGGGGAAATAAGAAATTTATCTGGTGAAATGAAAAGGAAACCTATTTTTTACGTGGCCTTTGTCCACGAATTTTGTTTTTAAAAACTTTTGTTTTACAATGTACAAAAAGTTGCAACAGTTATTACAAGTCAAATGCTACTTTTTATTTTCAATTGCCATCGCAAAGGAATGGATTTCCAAGCGAATAACCAATAGCAGAAAACAATTGCAAGCAAATAGAAAGGGCACAAATACTTTTCAGTTTTCATATTTTTTGCCAAATTTATACATAAATGTAATGTATATTTATAATTTACATAAATGTAACGAACTTTGATTTTATATCACCTTTAAATATATGTATAGGACTAAGTTGGCATGATGTCTATCTAATATATAGGGCTCCCGTAAATAAACCACTGATCTGACATATGTAAGCGGTACAATTTTATTATAGGTAATGACTCCATTGTAATTTCTAAATAGAAATAAATATTCATGGCAAAAATTTTAATAGATGAATAGCCTGATCTTATTTTTCAGCCATGGGCTTTAATTTGAGTGTTAAAAACCTATATGATATAGAACATCTATAATAGCCCCATGTGAAAACTCAGCTAATTTTTTGGTATATTAAAGAGCTTACAGTTATTTTTAAATTAGTTGTAATTGGAATTTGTATTTCCAGCGTTGAATTTGTATTGCTGCGTGGTATTTAATTTTGTCCACCTCATAATTAGGGGAAGAATAATTTCTGTATAGTCAAAGATAAATACTATTTTACACCCATTACCGCAAGATGGGAATTACTTTTTTTTGTCATTCAAAAAGTGCGTTAAAGACCCCATAAAGTCCATATTTTTCATCATCGTATAATTCAATGGCGATTAAATAAATTTTCGGTCCCGTGCTACTTTCTAATATTCCTTATTTTTTCATGTTTCTGCCACTATTTCCAAATGAATGAGTTCCAGTTTGACACTTCGGAGTTCATTTCATATAGAGGTACATCCCAAATTTACATTCCCAATCAGTATTCTCTTGGGTGTTACATAGAATACAAAATTTTCTTTTCTGATAACACTTGGGAGTACACTAATGTTGGGACTGGACATAAATAAATGTGTACAATTATCTGTAAGATGGTTCTCTAGCCCATGGTAGCCTAAATACATTTTTTTATACGAAGAGTTCTTCTACCCCCAAATGAAACCATATGATGGTTATACGAAAACGTGTTCATTTTTTGCAAGGATGGTTTTTCTCAAATTACCAACATCTGCGAAATTAGTATGAAAATGTAAAATATACTAGAAATCGGGGTTTTATTCATGTTGTTGCACCCATAAAAAATACATAAAATCTATAAACAACAGTTTTATCCGCTGTCGCTTTGTACTACCCTAAAAAGACAACATATCATATATGAATTCAAAAAAAAAAAAAAAAAATAATAATAATAATAATAAAATAAAAATAAATAAATAAATAAAAAATAAAACACTACAAATGTACATTCGAAAAAGTAAGTCAAATTGGGTGCACGTAAATTGTCAACTGCAGGAAATAAAGAGATCGTGAATCGTCTTAAAAAAGTCACGAACAGTCAAGAAATATATTGTGAAAGTTCACTATCGCTATAGAAACGTGCAAACGTACTTTAATGGAATTGTTTTGAATGTTAAACAGAACCAAACGTCGAATTAGTTATCCAATGCTTTAAAGGCAGTATTCGTTGCAGAACTAGATGAAGCGAATGCAGATTATAAGATGGCTAATTCCATTAGACTTAGGAGTGAAACAGTGAGTGAATATATATGACTGAATGAATCATCAAATATGCGCGTGAAGTTTTAAAACATGATGAACTACAAGGAGCAAATGGGGCATTAAGATTTCAAAACATGAAATAAATGCGAGAAGCTATTGAGGATTACCTTACTATCATTGCAAGTACGTCAAATAAACAAATCGTAGTTAGTCAAAATATCCAAAACCAGAGTAAAGCCCATGGTAGAATTAAGAAGGTAAAATCATTGAATTATATGATTACAATTTTTTTTTAAATTACTCATTAGACATCATCTCACTGTCAAAATTTATATTTTCAAATCCATTGTATACACAGAAATCAGAGATGGGAACCTGTTTTTGCACTCAAATTTGGCAAGGTAAATTGCTGAAAATGCAGGGATGGAAATGCTTACTTGAAATGACTTTACCTTCTTAATTTTACTATGGTAAAGCCGTAATACACAAAAATTCAGCGAATTCACCCAAAAGGATGACCAGAAAATTGTGGTAACACAGGTCGTGATACCACGAAATTCAGTACATACAGATATATAGAAAAAAAAAACACTTTGGGTTTTGGAAGTGAAATTGTATTTTTATAGGAAATTTAACAATAATAATAGCTTTAAGTGCGGTGGACCGAACTTTGAATACCCATATTTAAAACAATTTCGGTGAATAAGTCACTAAAATCATCAAAATACCGAATATCGGGAGGTATCGTTATGTGGGGGCTATTCGAAGACGTGAGTCTGCACAGACAATTTTCTGGCACATTACGAACTTCAAATAAAAAATTTGAAATAATTCTCGGGGGTACCGTTATATGGGGGCTATACGAAGACGTGGATTTGCACATACAATTTTCTGTCTTAGGCTGTAGTATCCATTACGAACTTCAAATACCAAATTTGAAAAATTTCCGGTGAGTAATGTCGCTTAATCACCAAAATACCGATAATAGGGAGTCACCATTAAATGGGGGCTATACTAAAATGTGGACCTACATGGCCCAATTACCAAAAGTCCTGCAGACATAATATACATTTGAGTAAAATTTTATCAACCTACTTCATTTCGTTCGGAAGCTGGAGTGATTCCCACAGACGGACGAACGGACAGACCGTCGGACATCGCTAAATCGACATATAATTTTATGCTGATATGTACTTTGTGGGGTCTAAAATGCATATTTCGATTTCAAATTTTAGTTGTTTCTCAATTGACGAAGCAAAGTATTTTTTTTAGAAACTAGTTGTTTGCTTTGCAAAATGAAAGAAAAAGAAAATAAAACACAAGAATAAGAATTTTATTTCAATGCAGTCGTGAACTTATATTTTATTTAATAATTGTTCGTGGAACAATTAAAATTACATTTTTACAGGATGTAGGGATTTCTGACAGGTATCCGTAGCCCATTTGGAAGCAGCTGAACCACCATCGTAGGCCCGAGCGTAGATACGTGCTGGATGGCGGTTATTGGCCGATTTGCAACGCAGGCCGAAGCCCCACTGGTTTTGACCTGTTGGGGAGTGACCGATGTACCTGGGCGTGTGGAATCTAAAGGAACGGACGGACGTTTTGAATGTTTACGCTTTCGGAGCTTCTTGGACGGCCTTGGATGCTTTGAAGTATTTGGCTGGGAAGCGCTGGAAGGAGTCCGATTGTTGGAAGAAGGTTGGTGGAGCAATGTGTGGTGTTGCTGGTTGCAGACTTTGCAACAAAGCCGACTGTGGCAATCTCGCAAAGAATGCGATGGCGATAGACAGTTACCGCAGCATTTATGCAGGGCGACTGTTCGCAACAATTGGCCGTCGGATAGTGCCATTTTCCGTATGGATATCTGCAACTCGTATTCGACCATTAGAACCCGGGTGCACCGCTATAATCCGTCCTAATTTCCACGAAGTGGGAGGAAGATTTTCATGCCTAACAACGACTAAGTCACCTTTTTGAAGATCGCGTTGCGGAAACTTCCATTTGTATCTTTTGTGCAAGCTCTTCAAATACTCATCCATTCACCGTAGGCAGAGTTGATGAGTGAGAGCTTTAAGCTTCCGAAACCGATTTACCAGATGCAAAGGCGCTTCGTCAATTACTGGCTCCGGTGGGGCAAGAATTGGGGTTCCAATGAGAAAATGTCCTGGTGTTAGTGCTACTAAATCTTGGGGGTTGTCATATTTGGGGCATAAAGGACGTGAATTTAAACACGCTTCGTTTCTGGAAAGAATCGTAGAAAGTTCTTCAAACGTAAATTTTAAGTTCTTAGCTTGCTTACGAAAATGCAACTTAAAACTTTTTAATGCGGCCTCCCATAGACCACCCATATGGGGGGCGCCAGCGTGAATAAATTGCCATGAAAGTTCCTGATACTGCAGTGTGGAACACAGGTTAGTATGACATTCACGGAGAACTATTTTAAATTCATTTTCGATTTCCCTTGAAGCTCCAACGAAGTTGGTGCCATTATCAGAGAAAATTATTTTTGGACAACCACGTCTGGAGATAAAGTGATGAAAGTCTGCTAAAAATGTTGCCGTAGACAAATACGAAGTAGCCTCAAGATGTATTGCTTTCGTAGAAAAGCAAACAAAAACACAGACGTAACCTTTAGTGATTTTAGAAAAGCGACCTGTAAACGATTTAAGGTCGAAGGGAGCTGCAAAATCAACACCGGTAGTTGTGAATGGTCTAGATAATACCGTTCTCTCCGGAGGAAGAGCAGCCATTATCTGAGAGCAAGACCGTTTTTTGTCCAAGAAGCATGTTTTACATTCAGTAATGGTGGTTTTAATTAGTGATGTGAGTCGTGGGACCCAATATTCAATTCTAATGATGCGTAACATCAGTTGATTTCCACCGTGGATGGAAAGAACATGCATGAATTAAGGTAGTAAGTGCGTGAAACGACTTTGGCGAGGCAGAATAATGGAATGCCTTTCTGTGTAAGACAGAGTAGGTGATTGCGACAAGCGTCCATTAAGCCTAATTACCCCGAATTCATCCAGAAATGGATTTAAGGGCAAAAGAGAACTCTTTGCATTTAAGGGAACCTTATCTGACAAAGAC